ATTCTCCAAAGCACTTGAGGGCAGGACAAGAAACAATGGATGGAAACTGATCAAGGAGAGTTTAAACCTAGAAATAAGGAGGAATTTTCTGACAGTGAGAAGAATCAACCCATGGAACAGAAGTTGCCTTCGGAAGTTGTGGGAGTTTCATCACTGGAGGCTTTCAAGAAGAAACTAGACTAGCATCTGTCAGAAATGGTCTAGGGTCTCCTCCTTGGAGGGGGTTGGATTAGATGACCCACAAGGTTCCTTCCAACTTTGATCATCTGTAATCTGTAATCCCTGACTTATCCACATCTTTCTTCTTCCTGCCTCTTCTTGGGAGTGCTGCCCTTGACCTGTCACTCAGAGGACAAGCGTGAACCTGACGTCACTTATACTCTTTTGTGCTAGGATGAAATAATGAAGAGTTTTCCTTGTTTCTCTTTAAGGCTGTTTGATGTTGGGGGTCAGAGATCGGAGCGTAAGAAGTGGATCCACTGTTTTGAGGATGTCACGGCAATCATCTTCTGTGTTGCGCTGAGTGGGTATGACCAGGTACTTCATGAAGATGAAACAACGGTGAGTAGTTCCCCAGCTAAAATGACCCCTCCCATGGTTCTTTGATTTCCTGTATTTTGTTCGTAGCCACCACACAATCGGGGTCCTTTCCCGAAGGATCTAACAATATTGTTCATTGCTCACATGTCTTCCTTTGATGCAATATCAGGGTTCCAAGTAACACACCCAACAAAAGAAGACTCTGAGGCTAGAGGTTCCTCAAAGTTCCATTTTATTAGAGATGTCATATTGGCACATCTGGGAAAACTCGAATCTGAAATCTTTTCCCCACCCAAATGAAAGTCCGAGCCCCTGCCCAGCACCCATATGTCCATCACATGATCCAATCAGGCACCGTCCCAATTGGAGATGCCTCCCAGTCACACCCCTCCAGGTACAGGGCAAGATGCCCTTGACTCTCTGAGAAAGGAATGTTATTATGACTATATATCTCCCATACTCCATATAATCCTCCTTCCCAATTTCCCACAGCATTAAGTGTGGCAGGTCTGAAGGCCCAATGCAAAAGATGGCTTCCAGGCCTGACAGATCCCTTATCTATTCAACCAGAGTAGGGTTTAAGCAGAGGTGGGTTCCTACCAGTTCGCACCAGTTCGGTAGAACCGGTTCGTCAAATCTACCGAACCGGTTAGAAGAGGTTCCAT